AGAGCCATCTGGCCGGGTGTAAACACACACTGCGACACTTTCCACCATATTCCTCTCAATCGGCTATTTCCATTTACATCAAAGGGCTCAGAGTTTATAAGCGCACACCCCGTTAGGAGGCTGAGAGAGAACCTGAGCGAAGTGATGCAGTGAAACCAGCGAGGGGGAATATTAGCATCGTCCATCCAACTGAGACCAACACCGAAGCAGGGGGAACCGAGTGAGACAAAGGCAGAGAGACACAAATAGACAGGAAGGAGCTACGAGAAAAACTTAAAAGGGGAAGAACAACACACATCACTAAGTTCATGCCACTTGGAAGAGATGTGAGGTTGATATGCAAGCAGGGGCCTCACAATAATCTGGATTCACACGGATCACACAAAAATCCTTTTGGTTTCAATTATAAATCCATGTTTATAATCTTGCTGCCTAATAGTAGCAGAGACGAGTGTGTGAGACCGATACACTGCACCAGTCCCCAGATCCGACCTTGAACAGGCCGCGTAGAAAAGATAAGACGTCAGTCAAATGTTGTCGTTAGTGATACAAGCGAATTCTGTAAAAACAATAATTCAAGCAGACAGTCGCCCCACATTCAACTTTGAATACTTAAATAAGAAAACAAAAGTATCTAAAAAAAAAAAGGATAAACCTGACGCAAGTTGTTGGTAATTGTTCGTCCACGTCAGCAATTAGACGAAAGATAACCTTAAGGTTTCTCTGCCACTGTGCTAAGTTTCCTCATGTGTGTCAAACAGAATGGAGTGGATCATGTTGGAATTGGACCTGATGCATCTTGAAAACATTTATAGTTTTGCTGAAATTACCAGAAAGCAGGAGAGAGAGAGAGGATGTTGGAAGAGGCGGTGGGTGTGTCCGTCTGTCTGTCTGGCCACTGAGACATGGGAGTAGGAAATGTGATGCTACCAAGCAGATACATTATAGTTATGGTGGTCAGCATCATCTACATATGCAGTTAAATTACAAGGGAGGTGCACATCAGGGTTCAAAATGGGCGATGGAGGGGGGTGCACAGCTTCACCATGATCCTGCATAGAGGTCTCAACTGGTCCAAATGTCCAACTTGAAGTTTCCTTTCAGACTTTCACCAAAGATGCAGTTGTGTATCCTCCATTTAAGCTTCTCCAAGATGAAATAAGATAAGTGGAAAGTCTTTAATGACATCTGATTTATGTCAGGGTATACATGGAGATGAGATTAAATAAAGAGAATAAGGATGCAGCCACTGAGGGACAAGACAGAGAGGAGCAGTGAGTGAAACACACACACACACACACACACACAAACAGCAGTGGAAACAACCAGCACACATCTGCCGGCAAGACACAAAACAGACCTCGACGTGATTCACACTCTGCACTGTCCAAATGACACACAGGCAAAGAAATGTGTGCACACAGCCGGTGCACCGAGGACACACTGGCAGTGAAAATACAGCCCAGACTAACTGGAGAGCAGCAAAATACACGACTACATGTCACTGTAGTTCCACATTGGAACAAACACCACTGTGCAGCTGCAAGCTCGCAGAATGGACTGTGTCTTGCATGCATGGTAATCAAATAAAATCAATAATGTCTGATTGGTGCTTGATTCTCACCAGTCACGATTCGACCACCATTGCTGAATGCAAAACGTGGCGTCAGTAACAGTTCGACCTCATCATCAGTCCAAGAAAATGAATCCCTCATTTTACTTTTCCCCATTTTTCCATAAATAAGCAACCAACTACAGAGAAAACAAGTTGCTTCCTCTCTACGATGAATGGTCACGTGATATACATTTTCAGGTGTGTTATGGGACCAGGAATATTACTGATGCATGTAAATGGTATGCAAATTAGTGCTGATGTAGCCATACACTCTGTCTCCAACAGTTTTCTTAATGAATTCATACGGCACAAATCATAAATCATCCATCTGTAGTGTCTCAAAGAGAAAAGAATGTTTGTGCCACTTATACAAGATGTTTCAACCACTTCTTCAACTGCATTTGAAACACAATGAACTGAGGACCTCCGGTGTAGCTGCTGCCGACCAGCTAATAGACGGTTATTAATCTCTGCTGAGACAAGAGAGTTCACCGCAGGAGGGATCTCGCTGCTGCCACCCGAGTGTCGTGACGTCACATCCTGCCTGGCAGGACACCACTTCCTGCCGTTCACCGCCTGGCCTCATCATCATCCCTCATAAAAAGTCCAACAAAGAGCAAGCAACACAGTAAATCAACACAGCCTTGTAAAACACACACACATATTAACACACTCACATTCCAGAGCAGGGTGCTCTAACACACCCTCTAGAGTCTTGGGCTTTGATGTGAGTGTGGGAAAGCTCAGGGGAATGGTCTTAGTGGGGGAGGGAGAGAGAAAGGGAGAGGGGGGTGGAATGGGGGGAGGGGAGTGGACGCAGGAGAGTGTACGCATGAGAGAAACTCTGTGAGAAGTAGGGAGGGTCAGTTGAACCTGACCCCCGGAGCATCGAGAGGTCAGTGTGTTTAAACAGGGGTCAGACAGATTTCCACACACACACACACACATTACACGCTGGTTGGCAGACTGATAGAGAAGAGGTTCCGATTGAGTTAGACTGATATGCTGCTATAGAAGTAGCACAAAGCAACAAATAACAAGAGAGCAAATAAGGTGAAGTTCATCACTGACAGCGACAGAGTAACTGAAAATGTTCTGCATTTCAGAGTAGGCATAAATTATTGGAAACATAAAAGCTGCTGTTTTAAAGGGATTTTATACGAGCCCTGAGGTTTTTGAATTTGTTAAGGATAAAAATATTCTATGCAAACTGTCAGTCCAAATAAAAGAACATGATTGAGCCAATGCCATTTAACGGCGCTGTGGCTAATGAGCAGCACTTAACGTTAGTCCAATAAATACAAAACTCCCTTTTCTGCTCCAGGTTCTGTTTTTAACCAGCGGAGGCCTACGAACGAGGAGGAAAGGAAAGAAGAGGGAGGCGGGAGGAAAAAAAGATGGAGAGAGCAGCGAGCAGAGGAGAAGAGAGGCTGAAGTTTCAAATGAAAGAATCTCTTATGGCTGCTGTATCGACGTCTCCAGACTGGTTGTGCTTTGGCAGAGCATCTGTTAGTGTGAGAGTGTGTGTGTGTGTGTGTGTGTGTGTGTGTGTGCACGTCTGCATGCATGCACCGCAGTGCAGCAGCTAAACAGAGGTTACTTTATATAAAAGCTGGTTCCTGGTTGTGCCCTGAGGTCTCTGTAATCTCGCTCTCTGTCTCCCATACGCTTGCACACAAGTGCGCCGTGCAAACACACACACACACACACACACACGCACGCACACACACGCACGCACACGAGTACACAAGCAGGCGCAAACACGGAGCTCTGAGGTCTCGATAATCACACCGAGCCTCTGACTAAAGAGCGACTCAGTTAGCCCTCAAAACACACTGCCACACTCCACCTCTCATTAAACCCACTGACCTGCTCCAGAGAGCGACAGAGGGAGAGAGAGCGTGTGTGTGTGTGTGTCCCTCAACATTAATAATATGTGCATTCAAACATGACCCCAAGCCCCCGACCACTCGCCCAATTAACATTGTCAACCAAAGTAAAAGGCACCCAAAAAAACCACACACACACACACACACACACAAACACACTGTGCCTTCAATGCCAAATTATGCGTGCACCCACACTAATAAACAGACAACCGCCAGACGCCAGCTACATCAATAGACTCCTATTGCAAAGCAGCGTGCAGTGTCCCACTCATCCAATCAGAGTGCACATTAAACTTTTCTTTAATCTGTCTTTAATCCATCTTTACCCCAGTCAGTGAGGCATATCTAAGACTTTTCCTCCGTCTACCATATCTGCACATCTTTGAACCCATCCATCCGACCGTGTGCCATTTGCATCCAGCATTATCTCTGCCCATAGGTGTGTCTGGGGCGATCCCTCTGATTTCAGGGGAAAATTGAATTACATGGCGGGTGGAGAAAAGGAGGCGGGCTGTAATTAGTTACAACATAGACTACAGGGAGGTAGCGGTGGTGGGGAGTCAGCGTCTGAGCCAAAACTGCACTCTCTCACTCTCTCTAAAAGAAAACCTTCACTCTGAGGGTAAAGAAAGAGCGAGAGAAGAAGAAGAGAGAGACAGAGAGACAGACAGACAGACAGACAGAGGGGGAGAGAGGGAGATTGGAAAGAAAACAAAGGCGCCCTTTCAAAGTTTCTGAGTAACAGCTTACACTGGTGACATCATCAAAGTGAGACACGATTCCACAAGAGTTGGGGGAATTCCCATGTAACTGCCCCCTCCTTTGGTTAAGAGCCTCTAAGTAGCTTACATTTCCAGTCTTTTCATGTGCTGATATCAGATTCAACCAGAGAGTGAGACACTGACACCGACTATGCTTACAACTAACATTTTAGAATATGGAGATTCTGGTGCAAGCGTTCCAAACCTAATTGGTTGTGCCCATAAAAGATGACAACTCAGAGCTATTCTGAAGTTTTTTGCATGTTTACATTAGTGTAAAACCAATATACTGGTGACGGCAGACATTGTTTCAGACTTCAAACCTGATTCAGAGGTCACAGCATTTACATTTTCTGCTTTTTAAAATGTCACAAAACTGCTGTGTGGTAATGCTGTTGACATCCCATAGCCTTTATTTCTCCAATCTCTATAATGAAAACACCACTGTGCTTTGTCACACTTGGAAATAGAATTGAAGACATGCTTTCACCTGTGTTCCCTATGTTCTCAAATCAAAAAGTAGCATGATTTTCACTGTGTGGGTTTTAGCTTAGTCTCCATCATCAGACTTTGATTATCAACTGAGATAAACAGAACTGGCTTAAAGTAAACCATTTCTGAAAGACAGCAGCTCTTGTGTCATTTATGTGCCAGCAGATAATAAATGTGATGGGGATTAATCTCACAGTGAACACGTGTTCATATGACAGTTAAAGAAATGATGAGGGGACTGACCCTGGATGCATTGCAGTGATCCATCCTCTGCCCGGATGGTGAACGTCTCCCCCGGGTTCACCTGCACCAAGATCACCTGTATCAACACACACGGATCACATGGTTAGAGAGCATGGATCAGATGAACTGATTCAAAACAGAAACTATGATGGCTTTTATTACAAACCAGGTTGGGTTTTCAGTTGTCTTGCAGAGATGACATAACACACAGTAACCAACAGATCCCAGAGTAGGGCGGACACATGTACAGTTTAAATGAGGTGTTAAATAAACTGATAATCGGGTCTCGTGTACCATGATTTTGCAAAAGACTTGGTTTTAAACACACTGACTTGCAAAACCCAAAAATGTAACAAAACTAATACATACAAATATTACACACATATAAAAGCACAGTTAAACACACAGGCAGGAGAGCATGTACAAATGAAGCCAACACATGACAATGTTTTCTTTTCCGAGCGTTTCTGCTGAGTGTGCGTGAAGGGAGTATGCATGCACTTACCGTCATATTCTCCGCATAGAGATTGTTGAGAGTGTACACGTGGCTGTAGACATGAAACAGGTGACCCTCCATTGCACACACACGCGCACATGTATTCATGCTCACACGAGCACACACACACACGAGCAGCCCTGTCTACGTTCTACAGGTGCTCCGTCGTAAAATCCTCATAGTCATTCGTCTCTCCCGTAGCGCCTGCATGCTCTCCCATCTCAGCCCTAACCTGCTCCGCTCCCTCAGACACACACGCGCACACACACTCACACACTTCCTGCTCTGTCTGCTGCAGCGGCTGCTGTTGCTATGGGAACCACAGCATAGTACAGGGCGACCCATGTTTCCTAAGGACTGAGAAAACCCCCGTATCAGATCTTGTGGGTGGGTGTGATGTGAAGTAAATGCACATATGTTGCATGTTTAAACCTACACAAGCCAAGATCCTGTAATGTCATAATGTAATGTAGTGTTAATGTTGTGCTTCGATAGCATGGCAGGTCCCTGAAGCTGCAATCATGCAATAAACTAGTGGTTTGATAAACAAAAGGTTAAACATTAAGTTAGAAATTATATCAAACGATGACCATACAAAGTTTTGCACCGTTGGAATTGGCAAAAAGTGTTTTCGTGTAAAATACAGTTGCAGCATTAACAAAAATCAAATAAGTCTAAAGTCAAGTCATTCAAAAAAATTGACTTTAGCTTGGTTGCATTCTCTTAAGACATTTTTTGTCCAAGCTACAAATATTTATTTTGATAAACTACATTTTTCTCCAGTTGAGGGTTCTTATTTATTCAACATTTCCATGCAGCACATAAGAGCTGTTACTTTTCACAATGTTGATGTCATCCAATTGTGCCATTTGGCTTTTAATACAAAAATACGTACACAAACACAGTGAGTTAGCAAAACTGACACGAGAGCAGAAGCAGAACCAGAAGTTCTGTTCCAGAGGTAACACCTTGAATAAAGGGTTGATTTGCATTGGCTTTTAAAATAAGTAGTAAATAACAAATACATCTATATGCATGCAACACTGGTCGGCAGTTTTCCAGGCAGTTCACTTAATTTGTTTTCACAGAAATTGGAATAAAAACACAAAATCTCAATCCACTACGTGTTAAACATCAAGGCTGGTGAAGCGGCTGGATTTGGAAGAGGATAAGCAGGAGCTAATTCAAAACTGGTGTAATGAGCGTGATCACATATTGAAGTGGAAAACAACGTAGCCAATAAAAGGATCTAAATGGAACAGAAAAAGTTACTTTTTATTGGCCACATCATTATTTAGCCAGTGCAGGGTTCCGTGTTATAATGGAACAGAATATGGAACTTACGATTGGCTGCATTGTTGCACTTCATCATGTAACTGATGCAATGTTCCATATTCCAAATGCAACAGAATTGATACGTTTAATTAAAACGTATGTGAGAAACCGTTACAATAGTCGAAACCCCCCAAAAAGTTGTTTTGATTGTGAGTGAAAACCCAGACAGATGTTAAATAGGTTAATAATTGGATCGCTCAACGAGAAATTCCATTTAGTTATTTTCATAGTCAGCTCAGACGCGATGGGAGCACATTGTTTCTTTAAGTAAAATTCTCCATTATGTATCTGAGGAAGAGACGTAGACAACACACACACACACACACACACACACACACACGCGCACACGCGCACACACACACACACACACACACACACAGGTGTAGGCAGGTAGAAACAGACAGACAGGAAGCAAACACACAGACACAAACAGACAAGTATGTACTCAGACTCAAGTGCCCACACACACACAGTGAAAGACAGACCCAAAAAAAACAACTACACACGAACATGGACTCACACATATGAAGAGTCAAATCTATATAATCAGTGGTCCAAATCTCTGATCCCACACTGAGAGCCGGGGTTAAACTGCAGGGTGTTACAATAAAAAGCGCTCCCTAACTGCTGTGTGTTACAGCCAAAACCCTCCCTAACTGTTATGTGTCGCAGCCAAAACACTCCCACTGTTCTGAGCTGAGAGGGGACACTGGAGACACTGGAGACGATACATACACATCATCATCATCCCTCATCAACCAAAAGCACACAGCGTATATAAATATCTGCGACGACAGGATTACACCCGGCTCGAATTAACTGATGTTTTTAATTACATAGATCTCTTCCTTTTGCCTGCGCAGAGCTAAGGTGGGGTTTGGTACTTTGAAGGTGATCCCTTCGGCTCTGCGGCGTCTGATAAGATCAGCCGAGCGCAGATAAGCGTTTGAATCCCTTCCCAAAGTAATTCGAGTTAAGGCCTGGGATCCATCAATGGAGCCAGGCGGCCAGATATATGCTGATTAAAGACACGTTTGTAGGACAGAATGAGTCAAGAGTGTGTTTGTGTTTATTCTTGTTCGTGTTACAGGACAAAGTCAGAACCGTAACAGCTTGGCAGCTGCTCATTACCTGTGGCAGCCACGCATGAGGCGTGTGACGAAATGACAACAAAGAGATTTGAGTGCATGGTTGTTTGTCGTCTATTCTTGTGTGTGTGTGTGTGTGGGTGGGTGTTTACCTGCTGTGCCGCATCACCGTTAACCATGTGAGGCATGAGAGGGACCTCCCCGTTCAGGAGGGGGGGCGGAGCCAAGTCCAGTGGAATCTGGTCTGTCATCATCATTGTGACGTACATTCATGGAGAAATTCACTGAACTGCCCTACCTATAGGAAGCACAGAGAGAGAATGACAAACAGGGGACTTAAGTATTGTTCTCGTCATGACTACATGTACGCACAGAAACATATTTCCATTGTGTCATTGGGTGAAGTTCACAGGAATGTCATGCAAACGGTTGGCTGTGGCTTGGGAGTTATAGCTGACAACCACAAACCAGAGCGTCACTGGTTTGATTCCCAGCTCCTCCAGTCCACATGTGAATAGTATGTGATAAGACTAGAAATAAATATATAAAGACAGTTATCATCACATAATAACAGATTAGGTATATTTCCATGTGCTGCTTTAACCAGCGGGATTCATCAAAACACAAAATACGATAAAAAGCTAAGCTGTTGACTCACCCACAGATAAACATAAACTTAAAGATGGCTTTATGTTACAAAGTTTGCAGCTGGAGAGATTTTTAATCTCCTTACATCCAAACCTTTTTGAAAACCTAGCTGGACATTGGCAAAAGTCTGATGGTTTAATGTCTACACAGTTAGAATGAAGCTGGTGCCAGCAGCCAGTTAGCTTAGCTTATAGGCTTGAAGCTGGGGAAACCGTCTGATGCTAAACAGGCATTTATAAGTGGTGCCAAACTTTTTTTTACTTACCAAAAGCAAATGATTTCCCTCAAATGTCAATCTATCAGTTTATGTGAACCTTACATTCTGCCAAACTACTGATGTGTCACCATCAGTTTATTGTGCAGGTTCGTCAATGACAAAGCAATTTGCTGCTTCAACGGAGCGTAAAAACCTTTCGCATCGTTGAGGAACTTTTAATAAATGTGTCTGTTTCCGACGGGTTTACTGTTTTCATGTGGTTTCAATCCCAACCGGGATAAGTACTTGGATGTAAACCCAGATATATCTAATAACAGAGGTGTACGTGAAATGACATGTAGTCACACATACACTGGAAATACACAGAATGAGAGAAAGAGAGACGAAAAACAGCAATGAGAGTAAAACAAATAAGTAAAGAAACGTATACGAAGGACTGGAGAGAGGAAACTAAAAGCAAACGCAGTTTAAAATGTTATCCGTCCCTGAGCAGAGGTTAAGAATTGGAAGAATATCTCTCAAGTGTCGGCGATGGAAGGCAGAAGCACAAGTATATATAAGAAGAGTTAAAAACCACAACCTTCACTCCAAATCAGTCTTTTAACTTATATGATGGAAAGTTGCAGATAATTGTTCCGGTGAAAGGTAAGAAAAAATAAACCTCAACATACATAGAGACGTTATATTATTGGGGTATTTTTAACAAATGAACATTAATGCCTTCTAAAAACTGGCAATGCATCAGCTTTATTAAAATACGACAAGTCACATCATGTCAATAATCATGTCAGTAGGAAAGAAAAAAAGAATAAAGAGACGGAGAAGCACAGGGATGAGCGGCTGAGTCAAAGCTCTTCATCATCAACAATAGTCCTGTGAAATACAGGATGGAATATAGTGAATACCCTGTTTGGAGGATTAATAAAAAAAAGAAATTTCGGCTGAGGAAGGTCTTAGTTTGATCAGTGAATGGGGATAACTGCACCTGCCGTTAGCTTTGTCAATAAAGCACACAGCAGATTAGTATTCTCCATAAGCACGCGAGCATACAGAGAGGATGGGAAGTCTATGAGGTCTTCTGGGGTCAACTGTGTCTGCGCTCTTTGGAGATTAAACCAGAGCTAAATCTGGAGCTGGTTTCTCTGCCTGTATAATGACAGCGCTAAAACTAAAAAGCACAACCGTCAAAGAATAAATAAAAGCAGCAGCCACGGGCATTTATCCTGATCATTCATCCACATCAGCAGAACAATACAAACACTGTCTCTCAGGGGAATACACACAAACTGTATATGTGCAAACCCCAGTTGAAATGTGCAGCAACTTAACACACACATACATGTATGCACACAGATTACTGAAGGAGGCGGGCGTTTTAATTCAACGTGCTGAGTGAAATCACCACTAAAGAGTTACGAGTTCAAAGCTGCTATTAACACACATGAACACACATACAGCATACATTAGGAATTTGCTTTAAGTATCATACACACGCACACGCACACACACACACACACACACACA